GGGTATTAAAGAAATGACTCAAAGAATTCAAACAAAGAGTGGAATTGCTTTCAGTGCAACGGAACAACCCCGATCACACCTACCTCGTCATCTGCACCATCTTCCTGGGGTGGAATCTGCTCCCCCTTGATCTCCTCTGGGATCTCCTGGCCTTCAGCAGCCATCTTGTCGGTCAAAATAAAAGTGTCGGGGTTGGGGGTATTCGAAGGGTCGGTGAAAGCGCCGGGGATACCGATGAGGGGAGTCAGAGCTCTCCGAGGGTCGGTTTTATCTTTGCGCGTCAAATTTGGTAAATAGAAATGAAGAGATTGAGCTGCTTGAAGTTTGGAACTGCCCAGATGATTTGTACGAGTTAAGAAAACCCTCTGTTCAAGACCTCTAGGCGGCAGAGAATTGAAGTTCTGGAATTTGGCAATGAGAGGCTTTCTATTTTGGGAATAGCGCCATTTCCGCCTGCGATGAACTGGCGGTATACTGCCGGGCGGTGTATACAAGCCTCACGTGTGAACAGAGTGTTTCACTAAACACGAACTTTCATAGTGAAGCTCCGGAGATTAGGTACATTTTGTATAGGTGTGCCATACAAAAAGTACTAGTTCTGGAATCTAGATTCTTCACGGTCGAGGTAGGAGCATTGAATATAAGCATGCAACATATATACTGTCAGGTCTATTTTATTTCATCCATTCAACCTGGAAAGCAATATTGTTATAAAAGTAATAGATGATTGGTGTGTTTGTATACACTCTCAATTATTAGATACTGTAGCTCAGTCTTAGTATTAACTCGATCAAAGCACCTGGACAGACCCACATTATACGTTCCAAGTCTTATTTAGCAAAGGGATAAATTCAATTCTATTGCGTGAATCCTGTTTTGGGGGAAATAAAGGATACCAGAGGTAGCAATTCAGCCCGTAAGGATAGATAACAACATCATAGACGATGTTGAGGAAATGATTCGATTCAAGGTATCATGTATCAAATTGAAAAAGCATGGGATCTGCAACAAGGCGGAAGGAGAAGAACATATGATCAGGCGAACGTCATGGCAATTATTTACACGGAGGAAGGAAGGGCAATAGGCGTAAGGACAGCATCATGAAGCTGGGGGGTGGTTCTTGCGGAAGGAGACCTTCTCAACAGCCACATTTTCTACCCCATTGGCATCGGTCTTTAGCTGATAGACGTACAACACAAGGACATCACCTTGGATCTGTTCAGGGTCAGCATGTACTCTATTCTCCAACCCCGTCAGGGCAACTCACGTCCATCAGGCAGAAACTCGGTGTAGGCTCCTCGCCATCTGGCCAGAAGCCCGAGCTCATGGCACCCGTTGCGCTTCCCGGGTTGATAAAGAATCGACCCTCCATCTCAAATGCCTCGAAGCGGTGGGTGCCACCCCACAGTAAGACATCGACATCCATCTGGCGGGCCGCGATAAGCAGTGCGTCGGCGTCGGCGGGTGGCACGATGGTGTGGCCATGGGTGAAACCAATTCGTAGACTGCCATGGTTCACGATCTTGGAGAGAGGGAGGTTGGGAGAGTCGACATCGTAGTCACCCTTGACCATCTGCAGGTCCGGGGCTACCTCGCGGAGGAAATCATAGGTCTCGCGGTCAGTCAGGTTGCCCAGACAAAGGGTCTGGCCGATCTTTCCGGGAGTCAGGAGTTTGCGGAACTAGAATGGACGGATGGTGTCAGCGTGTTGGAAGGAAGTGTAGCGCAGAAGAAAGACGGACCTTGGCTGGAAGATCCTAGACAATGTGTTAGCGGAGATAGTGAAGCTGAGCTGAGGACAGCTTACAGGAGCTCGGTCAGGGATGAACAGGTCACCAATGACCAAGACCAAACGGGCGGTCATCCTGGAAGGTGCGTGTGGGGTAAATGGAGATCAATGGTCCCTCCACGATGATCGGAAATTGGAGCAAGCCAGAAAGAAACAACGCCTGTTGGCTTCAGCCTGATGGAGCTTCGCGGGGAAGAGCAACTAAGCAGTGCCCTAAGCCCTACTTTATATCTAAATGCGGCTAGCGCTTTCAATCCTATGAAGCCATCTTATTTCGCATTGACTCAGGCCGACGTCTCGAAAGCTTTTTGGGTTGCGTCCAATCAATGCCCACGAGGTTATACCCCATCGTTCTTCGAAGGTTTCCTAACTCTTTGCGGAGGTCACCGAGGATGGGGACATACTACATATTGGGGTTCGGCGGTTGCATGGAGTAGTAACTGCCGAACAGACATCGTGGGATCGAAATATTAATACATAAAATCGATGGGATGTTATATACCAGTTCAAAGGAGAGATTTCTACATCGATAGTATTTAGATACTTCTATATTCAACATACAGTCAAGAGTACAAGATAGACATACAATCTCAATTTCTAATAGAATGATATAAAACCTGAAGAATACCCCAGATAATGTCAAAATGTTAATATCCACAGCTCCATAGAACCATACGTACAGCTTACAAGCGTAGGACGTAGACTGTTGGGAGGTCGGTAGGATCCGCCCGGCCTTTCTTCCAACCCCCCAAAACAAATCCCCTTCGGAGAGACAGGTGACTTTATAAATACCTTCCATCTCACTCTCACATGCTCTCGGTCCCATCATCCGAGTCAACAAATCATCGAATCCCAATCGGTATCTTGGCCAATCCACTCGGCGGCGATCCCCGAAGTCCTCTTACCCTCGGGAAGTCCAATCTCCTTTCACGCGAAATACCCCGCGGCGCGCCGCAATCGGAAAACTGGCGTCCAAATCTACGGAGCGTTTGAGCCTGATTTCCAGACACCTGGACCAGCGCCTCCCATTACCTGATCTTAACACCCCCTTCTCGACCGAGAGAGATTCACTATTCTCTGACGACGTCGAATATAAACCCATTGATCGCTCTATTCCTCCTGCCCCTCTGCCAGAACAAACTCCCACTATGTCTGCTCAAGCCCCGCACAATACCCTCCTGATCCCAGGACCCATCGAATTCGATGATGCCGTCCTCCAGTCTATGTCCCACTATGCGTGAGTTGTCCAGGTCACAATACATACCACAATGAACAACCAACTAACTCCCTCAGTGAGAGTCACGTCGCTCCTGGCTTCGTCAAGGTCTTCGGTGAGACCCTGACTCTCGTCCGCAAGCTCTTCCAATCCACCAACCCCACCGCGCAGCCCTTCATCATCTCCGGAAGCGGCACACTGGGCTGGGATCTTGTCTCCGCCAACCTGATCGAGCGTGGCGAGAATGCTCTCGTTCTCAACACCGGCTACTTCGGCGACTCCTTCGGTCAGTGCCTCGAGACATACGGTGCCAATGTGACGCACCTCAAGGCGCCCATCGGCGATCGCTCCTCCCTCGAGGAAGTGGAGCAAGCCCTCAAGGAGAAGTCATACAAGCTCATCACCCTCACACACGTCGACACCTCAACCGGCGTGCTCTCGGACGTCAAGGGCGTGGCACAATTGGTTCGCCGCGTCAGCCCAGACACCCTCGTGATCGTCGACGGCGTGTGCAGCGTTGGCTCTGAGGAGATTGCCTTCGACGAGTGGGATCTCGATGCCGTGGTCACAGCTTCGCAGAAGGCCATCGGCTGCCCACCCGGCCTCAGCATCGTCATGACATCCGGCCGTGCCATCCAGGTCTCCCAGTCGCGCAAGACCCCTCCCGGCGCTTACTACGCCTCCATCGCCAACTGGCTTCCCATCATGAAGAACTACGAGAACAACAAGCCCTCTTACTTCGCTACCCCGCCCACTCAGCTCGTCCACGCCCTGCACACCACCCTCCAGCAGATCACCGCCGATGTCCCTGGCCGCTTCGCCATCCACACTGAGGTCTCGGATAAGGTCAAGGCTGCTGCTGCTGAGCTTGGTCTCAAGCAGCTCGCTTCTCGCCCTGAATGCCAGGCTCATGGTATGACTGCCCTATACCTGCCTGAGGGTCTGTCCCCGCCTGATGTCCTGCCCGGTCTGCTTAAGCGTGGTGTCATCTTTGCAGCTGGCCTGCACAAGGAGATTGCTTCCAAGTACATCCGTTTCGGCCACATGGGTGTCAGTGTCACTGATCCCAAGCGTGGTGATGTTGACAATGCCCTGGCGGCGCTCAAGGAGGCTCTGGCTGAGGCCAAGCAGGCCAAGGGTCTGTAAGGGCCGTACTAAGCAGGCCCGATGTAAATAGGATCACTTGGACTTACTCAGAGTAAGCCTTGGAGATTATCTTTTGGTAAAACTACAGCAATGAATTATTGATTATAGACAATGTTTGTTATATTTAGTTGTAAACATGCCTTAATTTGTAGGATAACATCATGACTTTGTGGGTTGATAATAGTATCAACTAAATCACAAGAGCAATAATCTTCCTATTCGCTTTCCCTTTCCTCTCCAATAGCATTCAATCCTAGTCAATCCCACTTGCTTCTACGCAGGATTGCCTACTACCCTGAAACAGACTAACCTGCAGGTACCCGCCGATCCTCCACATTCTGGAATCCTCCCTATTGGCGCGTCTATCTAGACCCAAGACCCTAGCCGAAGAACGCATTGGACTGTAGACATGCAGTCAAGAATGTAATATTGGGTCGGGAATTACTCTGTTCAGCTTCTTCTTTCCCCCTACCAGCTCCTAGTTGTTGGAAGTATGTCAAGACCCCTTTGCCACACCCCTATATAGCAAAGCATTGACCAACCGTCCCGAGATCTCTTGCATAGACGTGGCTAATCTTTAATGTTTCGATTGCAGCACTATGGTACACAGATAGACATAATCAGGAAGACTTTCTACATCAATAATCGATCTGAGATCTGAATTTCTACATGAGATCTCCTCGTGTGCTTTTCAAGGAGTTTTGCCATATGAAGACAGTAGGAGTGGAATGTCTTGTCTTTGATAGAAATGCAGCAGGGGACTTTTTTTGCTTATATCTATATGCTCACCTATCCCATAGATATCTGTTCGCTTCTATTACGCCCGTTCACATTTAAAATCTCCTCAAAATGCATTACTTGAAATCCGTCCTCCCATTTATCCTAGTAGCCACGACTCTGGCCTCTGCGGACACAACTACATCAGCAGATAGTAAGATGAGTACTACATGTGCCTCAGAAGAGTAGGTCGAGTCAATCCACGTATCCACGTCCGATGGTGATATTCATTTCAAGCTGAGCCCAACTAACTCAACCCAACAGCGTCCTACAGCAATGTATCCAATCAATGCAATCTCACCTGGAGAACTGTGCACCGGACGACTGGAACTGCCAGTGTACTAGTAGCAAGGATATGGTGTAGTAAGTCCCATCTAATACCAAGTCAATTCCCAAACCTTACCCTATACACCTCTACACACCCAAGAAGAAAGTGACACTAATACCACCTCAGCTGCTATAACAACTGCCCAGATGGCTCGTCTAAAAAGGATGCCGAGTCTATCCGCCAACAATACTGCGCTAATGCCAAAGCATACGCGCCGACATCAACAGCCGCATTAGCTATAAGCTCTAGCTTGAGCTCTTCATCGACCGTCTCAACTACTACTAGAGCTGCAACTATGAGTACTGATATTGATGACGGAACGGATATCTCCGACTCTGAGGCCGAGAATGATTCCGAGGAACATCCGACAAAGTTGTATAGTGGGTTGGAGGCTAACGCCATCCTCCGTCCGGAACAGGGAACTGCTTCTGGTTTAAGGATACGGGGTTGGTTGGGTTTGGGGCTTGCACTAGGGGCTCTTTTGAGTTCTGGTGTCTTTTGATATTACTGTATGTATAACCGTATACCATATAAAGATTGCCCTAGGAAGTGACTTTTTTAAGTAGCATTATCCATTGACCAATGACTAGAGAGTACGGCTATCACTTCATTCTCCCAGTATTACTCTAATCAAGTCTTATTATCTCACCTCTGCACATAGTGTACTCTATTGTTTGCTTTGATAGTATTTTCCGCTAACGCAAGAACCAGGAAATAGAAGAAATAAGAAACCCTTGCCCCGGACCGGGTAATCGTAAAAGAACAAAATCTTGCCCGTGTCCCGCGACGCGCGCTATGCATCATGCTCACTAATTCGAACAACTTCAGTTCCATTTTTTGTATCTCCGACGGGCTGTCCTGCAATCCAGCACATAGGGTAACCCAGTCATCCAAGTTAATTTGCACACCTTCATTCAAGTCCATAATCGGTGACGATCGAACTTGGAGAGCCTCGGGGTTCTGTTTGTCGTGCCAGATCTGAAGGATGCGGGTTTGGTAATTTGACGCAGAAACGATGATGATAGGAATGTATTGGTGGTCATTGTAATCGGCGCTTGGCGATCAAGCCATAGGCACTAGATACCTCACCGGTGTTGAGGCGATCAAGATGATAGGGCTGCGAATCAACTAGGAAGGCGGTTATATGGGGCTGAGATGTATCCTTCGCGGCCATCCAGGTTGTAAGCTTCCATTGCCATTGGGGCGCATATACGGAGCCGATCTCATTGCTATATAGTAAAGATGGTTAAAAATAGAGATATAGATAGTATAAGAACTCAGCGATTTACTCCTCATCGGCTGTTTGTTTACCATTGACAAGAATATGACATCGTGGATGTCAAACCTATCCCAAGGCTGTTCACGGACCAGATATAATTTCATTTCTTCATGGGAAAATGGCTTCATAAAGCATGGGTCATATTCTTTTGCATCCTTGAAAGGAAACGAGAACAATTGAGGCGCAGAGTGAGGCGGTGAATTGGCTATACAAGGTGTTCATTGGAAAGAGAAACGGGAAGGGGAGCTGGCCAGTAGAACATATTGGGTTTTGTTGTTGCTTTTAGATCCAGCTACACAATATATTTTTGTCAAAGCCGAAAAGATTGGGAGCAAGCTGGATTCCTATCAGAATATACTAAAAAGTAGATCTAAAGATTGGGGGAGTTGATCGTGTGGGTCACGGGCCGAGGTGAGACACGTGGACCAAGGTAGTATAGGACTTTTGTATTCTCATCAAAGGTTGCTACCTATTCACATCCCTGATTAGTCATGCTCTTCGCAGTCAGCCCTGGAGAACACTGAGACTCAGAGACAGTGGGGCCCGGAAGACTCGGGTACGATGGCCCTGAAGAGCCTATACCCTGGACCTTTATTGGGTCGCACTTGCTCAGGCAAAGATTGTGAAAACTGCAGTTGCGCGGGTTAGCTCCGCGACCGTGCCGGGAGCAGCTTGGGGTAAGACTTGGTACGCGACGTGATAGGAGCCTCTAAACCCCCTGTATACGGAGTACTAAATATATTAACTAGTAAACGAAGTCAAAACACAGGGGTATTTGGCCCCGTTTCAGTGGTCCCGCTTAGACATCTGCTGACTTGATGCTTTGCCTCGTTTCTAGGCTGACATTTCCTTCTCCAGGTTCCAAGAAAAATCTTGTCTTTAACAACACCGGCCAAGATTTGAATCCCTTGGCTACTCTCGGCACCCTTATCTTGAGGACAATGAGGTTCCTCGGTGCGGGGCATATTGCCATAGTGGCCTTGCACATTCTACCATTTACCAGCCATGTCTACGCGCTGAACCTGGACATTAACAATGAGGGTAAGAGATTCAATTATGGGGATATATATATATATATATATATATTCTCCTCTCTAAAAGGCTGAATTGCTTACATTGTCTTTTCAATGAGTAGAATCGATCAAAGATGCCGGGAGCACTGCCGCCTACAACATGATGACATGGTATAAAGAAAATGGAACAGACAACCCGGGTTTCATCTCAAGATCCTGGTGGACAGGAGCTGCTTTATTTCTGGCATGTCTCAATTATTGGCATGCGACAAACGACACAACCTATAACGAGGAGGTCAGCATCGGGATGCAACATCAGGGAGGCGCGGGTGGAGACTACATACCTTCATGGGCGATAGGCGTAGTACGTATCCATTTCAAGATCTGTAGTTCTCCATTTCTGACCGTTCTATAGGGGAATGACGATCAAATGTTCTGGGGCCTCGCGGCGATCACCGCAGCAGAATATAATTTCCCCAATCGTCCAACTGGTGACACCTGGCTCACTCTTGCCCAGGGCGTTTTCAATAGCCAGATATCGCCAGATGGGAGAGGATGGGATACGACTGTCTGCGGAGGGGGTCTTCGCTGGCAAAAGGAAAATTGGCAAAGTGGTTATACCATGAAGAACGCCGTGTCAAATGGTGGCTTTTTCATGCTTGCGGCACGTATTGCTTGGTTTACCCAAAAGGAGAAGTATGCTACATGGGCCGAGAAAGTCTGGGACTGGTCTACCTCAGTAAATTTGGTCAACGATAAAACCTGGGCAGTGGCAGATAGTGTCAGCAAAGGCACTGGAGGCCCCAATGGCTGCAGTCTTCCTGACCATACCCGGTGGACCTACAACTACGGTACCTATCTGTCTGGTGCTGCTTATATGTATGCCTATGTAAGTATTGTTCTTTTATCTCCCCTTCAAAGACTCAGCACACCACACCCTGTTTTGACATGCTAATAACAAACCTCATAGACGAACGATACTAAATGGTTGAATATCACAAACAACCTAATGGACTCATTGTTTACTACATTTTTCCTACCTGAACACGGGGGTGTGATCACAGACTGGCGGTGTGAAGCCGTGGGCCAATGCTATAAAGACGCGAATGGCCCACTTTTCAAAGGCCTTACAGTGTCGTGGCTTGCAGATATTGCATTGATCATCCCTTCTCTTGCAGAGAAGATCATACCAAGACTCGAAGTTTCTGCCGAGGGTGCTGCAAATTCATGCACTGGCGACGGAAAAAACCTCTGTGGTAACCGCTGGTACGGGGGGTATGATGGACAAAATCAAATGGAAAATGCAATCAGTGGTAGTCAGATGATGAGTGCTGTTATGGTGAAATTCCTCGGCACATCTTCGAAACCAGTCTCGACGGTAACAGGAGGAAACGGTACAAGCGACCCGAGTGCTGGTACTAGGGAAAGTGAAGGACCTGCACCGTTGGCCCCTATCACAACGGCAGATAAAGCAGGAGCTGGAATCCTGGCAGTGGTTTTCGTGGCTAGTACGATAGGTGGGATGGTCTTTATGTTTTTCGGTTCCTAAGCCCTCCTAGAATGAGTCTAAAATGACAAACATACGTAATTCTAACGTTGTCTATCTTATTATTTCTCTCTACCTTTGCAATCTTTATTCTAAGTCTTCCTCTACATCCATTTCAATACACCTAGGTATCAACTTCGCTTTGATGGCATCAGATAAGCAAGAGTGCAATCAGCCCGTCCATGGGCCTCTCTATAACTAGGGCCCATTTCCCGCTTATATAAGGCCCGTGGGCAATGCCCACCCGCCCGTCCATGGGCGATGTCGCAGTCTAATATATAATACTAGTATATTCTCTTCCTTATAATATTAACCACTAATTCTACACTATTTTAGGCTGATTTTACTCTAAATCTACATTTATATAGTACTTAAAGGTTTAAATCTATTTTTTAAACGTGAGTTAATACGAATCTTAGTAGTGAGTGACTATAACTACCTCCTAATACTTGTTACGGAACTAGCCTAGTTGTGCAACTTAGACGGGTTTTAAGAACAAGAAGGTTTCGTTGAGGAGAGGAGTTCTCCTGAGCTAACAAATGTGTACATATTCCGTCGAAGGCGGTAACGTTTAGCAGATTCCGCGTAGTATAAGCAAGCATCTTCCATAGGGCTTCGTACGAAGTACGACGGCCCTATAACAATACCCCCCTCCCCTAGGACAATGACTGTTTGCTTCAATAGACGCTAGATTAGGAATCAATAGGAGAAGCAAACAAAATCGTGGCCTATGATTAGCCGAATAGGGCAAACGTGTTCGACGACGTCGTTGCTTTATAGTATATAGGCTGTAGTTAGAAGGCATAAATAGGTCCTCAATTCCCTTCTTCTTCTTCTTTTTTTTATTTTTTATTCGCAGTCTCCAAACCTCCTGTCAACCATGGAGTCGTCTAACTTTAATCTTCTATCGTACGACCCGCGTTAAGTCGAACCCTCCTCCCGGCGTATGCTCCTACCCCTGACTCGCATTGAGCACGGAGGGAAGTAGTATATTAAGGTCCGTCTGACTGCTGCGGGAAACGAAGCCCTTCGAATGCTGTGCTTCACTCTAGTGTAGCGGGAAGTGTGGAGCTGGCCCTCTCCCTCCGCCCTCTATTATAGAGGAGCTTATTAACTAGACCGTACGAGGCTTAGCACTTTTCATAGACGCAATCAACACATAATATCGAGGTTTCTAGACTCAGTTAGCACTAGCACGAAGCGTAGTAGCTAGCCTTATTAAGGGACCCATCGATCTTTCTAAACGGTGCGGTCTTCTATAGCCACACGTCTAACGCTATTGTGTCCTTGAGTGCGTCCGCTGGCTCTGTGGTTAGTCTCGTATAGCCTCTCCACTTAACCTTATAGCTCGTACGAGCGTTGTTCCTCAATGTTACGGAACTAGCCTAGTTGTGCAACTTAGACGGGTTTTAAGAACAAGAAGGTTTCGTTGAGGAGAGGAGTTCTCCTGAGCTAACAAATGTGTACATATTCCGTCGAAGGCGGTAACGTTTGGCAGATTCCGCGCAGCATAAGCAAGCATCTTCCATAGGGCTTCGTACGAAGTACGACGGCCCCATAACAATACCCCCCCTCCCCTAGGACAATGACTGTTTGCTTCAATAGACGCCAGATTAGGAATCAATGGGAGAAGCAAACAAAATCGTGGCCTATGATTGGCCGAA